AAAACCACAAAATGCACTAAAAATTTCAAAAAATACATTAAAGTCTTAAAAATGCAAAATAAAAGTTACATTTTTTAATTCTTTGATGTATGAAATGAACTTTTTGCTTGGAAACCAATGTTTTCGGACATTCAGAAAAAAATGCAATTTGCATTCAAATCCGTTCCCTACTCATCACATAACCATTTTAAGTTTTATTTTTGGTACCTACTATTAAGTCACTGTTATTATAATAGATCACCCATAATGACCATATTGTATCCATATGTTTCAATTTTTTCATAATAATTTGGTAGTCGTCGAAATATTATAAACACCCAAAAGCGTCATGGAATGAAAAAGTTTGAATACCTCTGAATAACACATTAATTATGAGATTGTCAATTAAAAAAATACTTAAGCTGATCTATTTATGGGCCACCTCTGAATTTTAACTACATATTAAGTTGTATTATATCACCTAATATCTTCCTCAGTTGTTCCTCCAGTTAGTGTAATGAATGTAGTGGTAATAGCAGAACTTATATTTTCTGCTGTTTCTGTCAATATTGTTGAAAATCGTCTGGATTGTCTTCGTTCATGTGCAGCCATAATAACCTCTTCAACTGGAGTTATTACTGATTGACTATTGTCGTTGGTGTTTTGAATTAACTCTAAAGCTTCTTCACTAGATTCAACCTCTTCTATAAAGCCTTCATTATTGCCATCTTTGGGTTTTGCAATATTTTTCAATTTATACTCATATAAACTATCTTGATAGATGTCAGGAGAACAAGCATAAGCTAAATATTATACATGAAAATAAATATAAAAGTGCAGAACCTAAAGATAAAAGAATAAACTAATAATTACCCTTCAAACAATTTGTCATAAAACCTAGAGGTATTAATGGATCTATTAAACTCAGAAATCTTGCAGGTGTTGGAGACCAAGCTATTGCACAAGGGAAATATGCCAAAAACAAGCTATCAGGTATCCTGAAACCCATTTCTATACATTTTAATGCTACACAAGCACTTAAATTTCCTCCAGCTGAGTCACCTGATTTAAAATGAAAATAAATAATTTTACTAAAACTAAATGAATTTTATTTCAAACAATTTTTTCCTAAATGTTGGTTTTTTTTTTGTTTATTCAGTATATTTTTGAATTTAACTTCCTAATTATTAAATGTTCATGATATTTTTAGATTAAAAAATTACCTTTTTACTAATTAGATTGATAAAAAAAAATTATAAAATTGTAACAAATGACACAAAACTATTATTTCTGTGTTAAAGATGAGGCACAACTATAATGCAAAGAAMATAATGAAACATTTTCGGGAAAATAACTGTTCAGTTTTTTGAGTCTAAATTAGTTACTTATTTTATCATTTAATTATATTACTAAAATAATTAAAAATATAAAAATTTTAAAGTTTTAAATGCATAAATCTATGTTTTGTTTTTATTTTTACCTGCCATTATGACACGTTTAGCAGTAGAACCCAAATAAGCTGCATTACTTAATGCCCAAATGTAAGCAAATAATAGTTCTTCCATAGCTCTGGGGTATGGTGCTCTCGGTGCTAAAGAATAATCAATGGACAATATGGGTATGTCTAAACGAACTGCCCAATCTCTTAAATATGATTCGTGAGAACTTGAACTTTGAGATACAAAACCACCTCCATGACAATGTATGATAAGATTTTCACATGGTTCTGGAAGTATACCGCTACCGGAATTTTCTGCCAACTAATAACCAATATTATATAATAAAAAAAAAATTAATTATAAAAACTTTTTACCATGCCTTCGCGTCTAGTTTTTGCAATTAGTCGAGCATTAAGGGCAGCAGGTCCAATATGACATGAAGGAGGCTGGAGTTCAAATATTTGTCCATCTGGTTTTAAGTATAAAAATGGTTTGCTAGGAATTGCTATTAGTCTATTTATAGCTACTGCAGGAGAAACTAGGTTTGGTAAACTTTTTAACAGTTCTGAAATTATACAAATTATTTTTATTTCAATATTTTATTTCTCAACCTTATTTTTAATAACTTACCAGTTTCACCAAGAAATAAAAATGCTTTGTAAAACTCTATTGAAGAATACTGAATGACATTAACAATTCTACGAGCTCTCAATTCTGGATTTAACATATATTTGCTACCTAAATATATTACATAAATTATAATATGATCCAAAATTCTTTAACCAATTAACTTACAATTCCATGCAGTATTAGCCCTAGCCAACATTCCATTTTCATTGTAGTAGACTTCGCTAAAAGCAGCCATCATTATAGCAATAGTTTTCAAAGCAGGCTGTAGTGACTCATTAAACTTAAAATAAATTTAATAGCATAAAATTAATTACTTTGAGTGTTGAAAACAGTTTTAAATGTATTACAGGTTATAAAATGCACATAGATGACAGTTGATAAATTTATTCACATTACAAAATTATTTTCAAGCACAAAGCAGTTTTTAAGTAAATTTAAAAAAACTACAAAGCTTTCTATCATTTTCTTATTTGATGAAAACTTAAATTAATAAATAATTATATTCATCACTTTATCAGTAACTAAGCCATTTTTTAAGATTATGATGAGAAATTTTAAATGCTTTTGAATGTATTATATTTAGAATAATTTCTATACAGTTTTACGTACATCACTAATAAAAAAAAATATGAAAATAGTAAATCAAAATATGAAAACGGTATTTTTTATAGCATAAATAAAGGCAAAAATAAGATATGTATTTGAAATAAAAAAATATCAACATTAATCAATTAAATTTTTATTTTTATTAAAAAAATGTAGAATTGAAAGAGAACGTAGATGAGTTAGATATGTTGATGGTAAAAGTATATATAATAAAAATACTTAAACATTTACTTGAAAAGCCAAACAGCGGCCATAAAAAGGACATAGTTTAGATGGTTCAATTTTCATCATGAGTTCTAATGCTTCAGTATCATTTCCAGCAAATAACATTCCTGGTTCACTCCAACCAATTAAAAGACATAAGTTTTCTAAGCACAATACCAATGCACTCATCACTTGGTTACATGATTCAATCTCTCTGTAAAAATATTTTTAATAATACAGTCATTAAATAAATTATACGTTATGGGGCATGTGCAAATGTTGAGAAATATACTTTGTATAAAATGTTTTACGGAAGAAAAATGAATCACGATTAACAGCCATTTGATTGCAAATTTTAATGCAATGATCAATAAACAAATCAACAACAGTGACATAACTTCGATATCCATTACCAGGTATAGATGGATCAAAATCATACAAATGACAGACATTACGTAATTCAAAAACCAATGGTTTTATATTATCAATATTTTGAAACAACTGTTCAAAAGAATTGGCCATGGCAGTTGAACCATTTCTCTCGTTATTAGTAAAATAAATAATATTTTCTTTACATAAGTCCTTAAGTTTGTCATATGGTAATGTATTATCATCTATTTCCAATAATGTTGCCATAATAATAATATATATGATTTTTCATACACGACACACCTATAAAAAGAAATTATATAATGTACATATGTAAATAAGACATAATATTTAAAACATTATTGCTTGTAGAAGCTCTAAGTGACTATCTTCTAATAGATAAGTACATAGTACATAGAGACAAGTATATAAAGCATCTAAACAAACTTATATGAGTTGTTTGCCTTTTCTGTTACTAATGGTGATATTTTTGTTTATTGTTATAGCTTTTTT